CACACACACACACACACACACACACACACACACACACACACAGACGACCCTCTGCCCTTAGAGTGTGTCCCTTTCCAGGGAAATCTTCCATAGTGGCTATATTTAGTCGCAGCAGTCAGCCAAGCACCTGAAACAAAACACTTTTGGAAAGTCGAGCGGAGCTGTAAACAGCTGAGATATCAAAGCACCAGCCTGTCCAAAAGGTTAATGGTGTTTCAGAGCAAATGGGAGCCTGATGAAACACAGGCTCTCATCGGACCAGCGGCCACTGCACTGTACTAATTAGGCCGCTGCGGTAGTGTTAGGCACTGATGAGGTGGGAGGAGCGGAATAAGAATTAAGCATCAGAGGCTGTTTTAGGTAAAGTTTAAGTTTTCTTAAAAAAACACAGTGATGTTACCAGTGGCAACCATGTCCTTCCTCCCCCCCCATTTTCTTTCTTTCTCTCTCTGCCGTTCCTTCTGTCACACTGCCGCCTGCCATTCTCATGGTCTGTGTTTTCCATTAACCCAACACTTTCACCCTTCCTCCTTTTTCTCTTCTCCGTCGCTTTCTCCTTCACTGAAGCACCACTCAGTTTTATTTCAAGAGCTTACTGCAGTAATTTCACAACATAATGTGGGAACTTTTCGTTGTATCAATATTGCATTAGCTGATTGAATTAAGAAGGAGAATGTTTTCAGGAGCATTAACACACAGCCTCACAGAGCTCTGCTGAGGGCCTCAGGTGAAAGTAAGGTTGCAAGCTTTGTTTTTTCCTCAACATCTTTTCCCAGGTAATATTATCATCAATTTTTATTAAGCACTCAACAGTGCTACGTTGCAGAAAAGGTGTGGCAGGTGAGAAGGTTGCTCCAAGGAAGGAGCAAGGAGTTTTCCTCAAGACATTATTTTTCCTGCGTTAGCTTTGTTTTAGCTTGAAGCTGGTCAAAAAAGTGTGGTTTGCTTTTTTTAATTTGTCAGAGAAGCGGGATTTCTGTAGTGACTGAGTGAACGTGTGGTGAAATTCACATTGTGATACATTTAGATATTAGTATGTGAGAACAAAGGCTCGCTGTATTTCCATTGCGGTTTCTAATGTTTTTCAAATTTGAGCCTTTTCTCCTTAAACTTTAAAGAAAAAATGGCACATATGAAGCACCTAATAGTATATCACATGTCATTTTTAGCTCATTGGCCAAAGGAGTCTGAGCTACTATGTCACTGATGTTCTTGTACATCATATTTGGATAGGTCAGTTTGTGATGTGGGTCAAAGCAGCAGTCTCCTTGAAAGTTCAATCTTTGCATTTCTGACACTGCCTGAATTTTTCCAGCCGGTTGTTTTCTATGTACCAGAGATCTTTAGTGGACGTCCCACTGTGGGGTTGTCTGTTCAGTGAAACACAAAAATGGTAGCGTAAGTTTGTTAGTGGAAGAAGGTTTGTAGTGTGACCTATCGGTTGTATATTAATATTCCCATTCATGAGCGGTTTCATTTGTATTTCTGTTTAAATGTGCTCCATCTTTCGTGTAGGTTTTATCTTCTAAGCTATTCTGTGTTGTCATATTTATGTCATTGAGAATTTATGCTTTGTTTTTTGAAGAGGCACCCGGACTCGTTAACTACCAAGCCGTGCTGTTGTAATAGGTGCTGTATGCAGTTTAGCATTTTCTTGCTGAAATATGCATCGTGCATGTACTGTTTAGCACTTATGGTCCCTTTCCACATGTGCAAGCTGGCGCTCCCTTAGGAACGTATCCACTTACTGACCATCAGAGATGCAGGCTTTTGAACTGAGCGCTGATAACAGGCTGGACGGTCTCTCTCCTCTTTAGTTCAGATGATGGGTTGTTAATGTTTTCCGTTTGGATTCATATGTCCACAGAACAGTTTTCCACTTTAAATGAGGTTTGGCCCATTTTGGTGACGTTTCTGAATCATGTTCACATATGGCTTGTTCTGTGAATAATCTGCTTTAACCTGCATGACAGAAGCATGTCTGTTTTTAATTCAGCGTACACAAAGATTTCTCTTTTTGCAGAACATTATGTGGACATTTTTCCATGATTTGTAGATGCTAATTTAAGATGAAGCCCAGCCAGTCTACCTCTCTAAGATGCTCTTTACATGTTACTGAAGTGTTGTCACTTTACCTAATTAGTTGCAAAATGTTCTTCCAGCTGTTTCCTTTTAGTACTATTTACTTTTCCAACCTTTTGTTGCCCCTGTTCAAATCTTTTTGACACGTGCCGTATA